ACATGCGTGCTGTAATATGAGTCTCAAAAAGTTCTTTAGGCCTACTGCATAAAACATCCAGTTTGCAAAGAAAACAGGAAGGAAAAAAAATGAAAGGCTGCATTGTAACTTGCTATGAGCAATGTATTCACAAGACAAAAAGAAGAAAACAGCAACAGATACCATGCTTTTTTTTTCTTAAATTGCACTGCACAATGCACTCTGTGTTTTTAGACAACAGTGGGAGCTGTTGCTGAAGTTGGAGGGAAATGCTGGAGTGTTGCTAATTAAAATGTGGGCAACTGGGACACCAGCTGCAAATAACTTCTCAACAAAAGGAGGGTTTGATGCTCAGTTTTCTGTGCGAGCTGTTTCTATACGTTAATGAATTAAGAACATTAGAATATTCACATTGCGTTTGTATAGGGAATACAAACACTCCTCCTTGATTTACTTCTGCTCATCCAGAGGATATAAAATGGAAGCTCCTAATGGGGAGAGTGTACCAAGGCACTTAAGTAATAGAGAAAGAAGAATGCTGGATATTACAGTTTACTAGCAAAGAAAAGATTGTGCTTTGGTTAAAAAGACTACTTCATGTTATTTTCCAGGAGACTCATATAATTAGGATTTTATACCCAGTCATGAAATAGTCCTGTCAGAGACCTAACATCAGTGAAGATAATGTTGAGAATTTCCTTATTGTTACTTTGTTCCCTTGTGTAGGAAGCATCAATTTTAAAGCGAGTAGGTTTTTTCTCCACATGGAGAGAATTGTAGGTAGTTGCTAGCTAAGCACATTTTTGCTATATGTCATTTGAAGAGGTACAAACAGTACCACGGATTTTTTGTTGTTGTTCTCAGAGATTGTCTTGAGAGTCCCAGTAGCTTTTCCCATTACGCCCATGTTACCCATTATTCCCGTAGCTGTGCCACGTACGGAAGGAATAACCTCAGTTCTTCGCTCTTTCTTGCTCCTTAAGAACAAAACAAAAAACAGAAAGAAGGAGGTGGATCTCTTCCATCACTTCAGCTTGACCTTCCACCTGAGGAGGCTGCAGTTTGTTTCCGTTTTCAGTTTTTCTTCTTGTTCCTTTTGTTTTTGTTGTTTGGGGAGGTAGAAAATTGCAGGAGGGTTGGTAAGAACAGGCATAATAGCTGCTGCTGGTGCAGGATGATGCAGCCTCTAACTGGCTGTCTTCATCTTTCACACCGCATCTTTCACCTGGTGTTTTTAAGTCAGAGAAAAGTTGCTAACCTTAAAAACAAATACATAGGTCTTTACATTGAAAAATGACCTCAGATGTACACAGGAACCCGGAACTCAGTCAAGCTTTGCAAAAAAAGATTCCTTCATCTCTCCTACTGTCTTCTGGACTTTACCTGTAAAGTATTGGAGGCTTTTCTGGCAACAAATTAAGGCTGGATAATCCATCTCCTCCTCTTGTAACATGTTAACATGTGCATATTCAAAACATTATTCCAGTCTTAGACTCCCATAAGCCTCAGTGTTTCAAATGTGTCTCAAATGCAATAAGGCTCTACTGAAAGTCAGTACAGTGTTTACCAGTTTCAGCCATGACCTGATCAGCAACTGCACAGAGAAACTGGAAAATTCTGTGGGTCCCTGAGTCAAAAAAAGCTGAAAACTCAAGCTCAAAAAAGCCCAATACAGGTGATTGCAGTGGCTAATTAGAGAACTCTGCTTCCAGGAGAACATAGTGTCAGTGTCTTGATTTTTGAAGAGGATCCCTTAAAGTTGTCATAACTGTAATTTCAGTGTTTGACTATGAAATACCAAAGAGAAAAAATCTGGAGTAGTTTTCAGACAAGACCAAAAAATATTTGTTGTACCCAGCTAGATTACAGTATTTTTAATGATGTTTGGGTTGCTGTTGTTGACTCATTTTCTTCTGAAAATGCAGTGTAGTATGGTGCTGTCTGCAACTTTGTGCATGCCAGGTAATTTCTCTGCCTTGGTTTCATTCCATGTAAAATGATGATACTGCCATACTCTGTGATGATCCTACTTGTTTGTTTGTTTGAAGCACTGTCAGTCTCATTACTTGTGGGACAGTGGGTTTGCCCTTTGACTCTCTCCAGTTTAAAAAGCAAAGAAGCCATTTTCAAATACAAATAATATTAGAAAACAGAAACCAAAATTATTCTTCTAGATGGAAATACAACTTCCAAAATATACAAGGTAATGGGATTCTGATCATAACAGGTGGTTTTCAATGCTAGCATGAAGGATCAGCTTTAGACTGCAGCCTGAGATGTGACGTATCTATGTATTTTTTAAGACCAAAGGGACAGCTATCATACTAAAATAAATTTCAAATGCGTGTCTTAAATCTTGCATATTTCACTGTCCTCAGGATGTACCCACATCCCTACAGCAAGTCCCTGCACCATTGCACTGAGTTAGAACGTGATAGATTGTGGTGGTAGATCATTGCTCTGGAGAGATGGTTTCTCTGTCAGGAAAAATATAAATGCTCATCATATATCTTAGTAAATTCTGAAATAAATTAAAAGCATTTGTCATGCTGTGAACTGACTGGTGTCAGGTGACGATCTTTTTGGCAATCAGTCGATTTAGTTTGTTGCTTATCTTGCAGGTAGCAGAAGAGACAGGCAATCTGACACATCTTCTATTTCATCCTACATTTCATGCAGCAAAGGGCCAGTGTCCTCCTACTTCCCACTCTTTGTATCATTTCTTTCAGTGCTTCATGTAGAAACCTTTGGTCACCTACCAGGACATGACTGGTGCTGTGGGTCACAGTAGACTTTTAGGTGAATGAGATTTTCCCTACTTCTCCAATACCTGTATGACTATGTGAATATATCCAGTAGAGAACTGGCCAGCTGCTTTGTTGGTGGAGTTGCAAGGCAGAGCACACCCTGGCCATGCTGCTTGGTATTTTGGGTTTGTAGGTTTGAAGAGTGTCAGCTGAGTAGGCTTGTTTTTATATATTTCAACGCCATTGCAGTTCTGCTTCATGCATTTACGGAGTCTACTTGCATTATACTGTGTAGCGAGACTATATGGGTAGAGAAACAGAAATTGAATCCACAGCAGGGCTTCCAAAGCTTGCAATTAAAACCTTTTCAAGGGCAACAGAGGTTCCTAATGAACTGTCTGTTGTACTTTCAGAAGAAGCAAATGTCTTGACACGCTATTGTTAATGGCAAGGCCAATGTCCTAGATTTATGTTCCTACTCTAGTTTCTGTGGCATAGCCATTCTGCTGTAGATCGTGGCAACCAAGGTGATGTACTGTGAAGCTGTTTTATTTGATGCTACAGTTTGCTGTTGTTGCAAAGCTATTATTTTTTTGAAGATTTTTTTTTTTATGCAGAGGCTAAAGAGTTAAATAAATACACCAAAGTGTATTAGTGGATAAAAGTCAATTGTGTGGGTTTGTGTGGAGAGGTTGTATCTCTTATAACACTAACATACAGTTGGAAAAGCAGACAAGTATTTGATTGCCCAAGCCGATCTTACATAGAATCACAGAATGGTAGGGGTTGGAAGGGACCTCTGTGGATTAAGCAGAAGCAACAGACTTCAAGCTGCAGGTTGGGCACAGTTGCTCTGCATTCGATTTAAAGATGTACATCTGTTTCAGGATTTGAAGTAGAGTTGGCTGGCCAGAGACCTGTGAGCAACGGCAAAGGTGGTAATAGTCTTTAGCCACTTTGGGACAGATACCAAGAGACAGGCTATTTTCACTCGGAGAGTAGGAGGGAGTTAGCTGGCAAGGAAACACAGAAAAAATAAATTGTGCCATAAAACTGATCTGTCTTCTTCAAAATAAGATTTTTAGTATCCAGTAGTACTGTGAATTTTCATTTCTAGGCTGCTTCCCTGAAGGTCTTCCTTTTCAGGATCAGGTTTGAGACATCAGAGAGAAGAACGACTCCCATACAAAATTATCCCACTGGCAGCCAGGCACGTGTCCCTTACTGATCACGTGCATCTCTTCTGCTGTACATTGTGTGGCTTCAGATTCAACCACACAGTTTGCCTGAAAGCACTTGATGATTACACGAATTAAATTACCTTCTGGCTCACCTTTGCTGGTTCCAAGGACGCTGATGGTTTTCTGTTACCGAGGGTGGTACTGAGGGTGGAGGGGGTGATGTGCTGGCAGATGTTGTGGTTGGGTCTCTGCAATGATTGGGGTGTCCCGGTCTGTGCAAGTCTTGCTTCTGATGATGAATCGGAGAAAATGAAGGAAGTGTTTTCGGAGGCTATAGAAGTTTCTGCAAAAACATATGGTTGTCTTGTGCAGATTACAGTAGTTAAGTACATTTTAGTATGTATTCTGAAACAAGGTGATGTGTGGCAACAAGGGGCCTCTACTTGCTTGGAAGGGGCTTTTTTGCATCACCGTAACTTTGTGTGTGATGCTCAGGTTTCTCCCGAACAGATGCCATCCACGTCCTTGATGTGTGTCTTCACTCGGTGAAGACTGGTTTTATGTTGACGAAGCCATTGCCTTGAGTGCTGTTTCTGGAGCAGATGAGGCAGTGTCCAAGGACCATTTGAGCATCCTTTGGGCAGTTGGTTCTTACGATTGTGGATGTAGCCATGTTGGTCTGTGGATTTTCCTGAGTATGGCAATTTGTAGGTTGTTTGGTATTTGCCATGATACTTCAGAAGCTGATACCAGCAGAGGTGGAGTGAAAATACTGCCTCAGTTTGGATTCCTGTACTAATATTAATTCCCTCTCCAGGTTTGGGCATGTCATGCAGGCTCTAGTTTTGGGGTTTTTTACTGGTTAAAGCAGAGATACCTATCTGAAAAGCTTATTGTGCTGAGGACAAAATGCTTAGTTTATGTTCACAAAAGAACATTTGAGTGCTCAAAAGAAAATTTTCCAGATGAAAAGCACTGAGTCATTGAACAGTGTTTTATTAAATAGAAGAGGTTTTTTATGTCTTAATGTTCAGCACTGAGAATTATACAGCATTACATATCAATGTTTTAAAATGTGTTTTTTATCTGATAGATTGAATATGAGAAGAAGAAGAAAGAAGATGGAAAACGGGCTCGAGCTGATAAACAACAAGTGTTGGACATGCTTTTTTCAGCCTTTGAGAAACATCAGTATTACAACATTAAAGACCTGGTGGACATAACCAAACAGCCAGTGGTATGTACTAGTAGTCTTGTAATATAACCATTTTCAGTATTTAGTATTGTGAATATTTTCCATATCCAGAAAATAGTTTAATATATACTACATGCCTTTGAAATGGCTCTCTGAATATGTTTTACAACAAACACAAATCATCAAGTTCACCATTATAAGACTGTGTAGGATACCAAGCATTGCAGTGAGTATGCTTCTTTTTGCCAGAGGTGGTTCAAGTAACCTGAATGGTCTCTTTATGATTTAGGTTTGCTTTAACGCTAGAAACCAAATTCTGTAATGCTCTGATGCCTCCTATGCTACTCCTGTCCTCACAGAAGTAACAGCCTAGTTGTGTTGCTGTAGGCAGTAGAGACCTTGCGTGAGTGGTCAGCCCTTCATTCAGCTTCTGAACTTTATCTTGGCATAGCAACAAGGGTTACTCTTTTTCTGTGGGTCTAGAAAAATGTTGTTTAAATTTTAAAAATGTGAATTAGTATTAAATGCACACATTATTCTTGATAGGAGCTCAGGCGTCAAGTTAGCACCCCCAAAATCACTTGGTTTCCTTTATAAATAGACTAATTTTTAGGCTAAGAGCTTAGGGGTTTGATATTGAGCAAGGATTTATTTTGATTTTTTTTTTTAAACACTGTTTTGATACACAAGCAAGAAAAGCATGAAGACATGTGCTTACATGATGGTTTTATTATCACGGAATCATAGAATGGTTTGGGTTGGAAGGCACTGTACAGATCATCTCGTTCCAACCCCCCTGCCACGGGCAGGGACACCTTCCACCAGACCAGGTGGCTCAAAGCCCCGTCCACCCTGGCCTTGAACACTGCCAGGGAGGGGGCAGCCACAGCTTCTCTGGGCAACCTGTGCCCCCACCTCACCACCCTCAGAGCAGAGAATTTTTTTCTTACATCTAGTCTAAATCTACCCTCTTACAGCTTGAAGCATTTACCCCTTGTCCTCTCACTACCTGCCCTTGTAAGAAGTCCCTCTCCACCTTTCTCGTAGGCCCCCTTCAGGTACTGGAAGGCTGCAGTAAGGTCTCCCCGGAGCCTTCTCTTCTCCAGGCTGAACAGCCCCAACTCTCTCAGCCTTTCCTCACAGCAGAGGTGCTCCAGCCCTCGGATCATTTTTGTGGCCTCCTCTGGACCCGCTCCAACAGGTCCATGTCTTTCCTGTGCTGAGAGCTCCAGAGCTGGATGCAGGACTCCAAGTGGGGTCTGACCAGAGCAGAGCAGAGGGGCAGAATGCCCTCCCTCAACCTGCTGCCCACACTTCTCTTGATGCAGCCCAGGATACGGTTGGCCTTCTGGACTTTGAGCACACACTGCGGGGTCATGTTGAGCTTCTCGTCAACCAGCTCCCCCAAGTCGTTCTCCTCGGGGCTGCTCTCAACCCATTCTCTGCCCAGCCTGTATCTGTGCTTGAGATTGCCCTGACCCAGGTGCACGACCTTACACTTGGCCTTGTGGAACTTTATGAGGTTCACATGGGCCCACCTCTCCATGTCCCTCTGGATGGCATCCCTTCCCTCCAGTGTGTCAACTGGACCACACAGCTTGGTGTCGTTGGCAAACTTGCTGAGGGTGCACTCAGTCCTACTGTCCATGTTACCCTGTAGTGTCTGCCGACCCCTTCATCTATGAACCCTAACTTTCCAGTTTTTTCCCTTCTTCCCCCATTCAAGCTTTTCTTGAGCAGACCAGGCGGGAGCTGGGGAGACAATGACACATGATGTGTCTTTGGTGCTTTTGATGTTTCTCACTGCTGACTTTGATCCAGCTGCAGTTTTCAGAAAACTTAAAGGGACTTAATTATGTTTGAGTCTAAACAAAGCAACAATTTCAAAAGCTGTTACAGCTATGGCAGAAGAAGGAACAGTGACAGCTGGATTATGGAAAAAAATATTCCTCTGTCAAAGAGGGGAAGAAATGGAGATGCTTACTAGTTTTGCTTGCTTCACGTTTAGAATTAAGTGGATCTGTATCAGAGGATTTGTATAACGTGCACAATCTGTTTGGTTAAGAAGCTGCACAAAGATGTTACCCAATTCAAATACATATAAGTTCACCGTATTCTAATACCTTGGAAGAAGCTAGATGGATAATGTATTCATGTCTTCTATTCCATTCATTTGTCTAATGAGTCAGCTCCCTATCTGCATGGCAGAGAAGGTGTGTGGATCGTGGTAGCTAAGGAGGAAGGAATAGGAGGAAGATATAGAGGGAGTGGCAAGAAAATGTTAAGGTTTATTTTTTTGTAAGAGGTGTGACAGTCACTATCTCAATCACTTTGAATGCACGTAGGTGCAGATTTATCTGTCTAGCATGATTTCAGCTAGAAATAGTCACCCACAACTCCCACTTAAGCCATGGGAGAACAAAAGTTTTCTTCCTCCTGTGATGGGATGTGATTTACCTCTTGAATATACCTGTTGTCTCTCTGCATCAGCTCAAAGGAGCCTGGAAAAGCTGTGCTGCTGACACAGGTGTCTTCATTAAGCACCAAAAGTTGGGCAAGATTAATCCATTTATTGTCTTAGTCGCTGCGCTAAGGATTAGTTGGATATTACTAGATTACCTGTATAGAACAAAATACCTCACATGCATACTTCTGTTACATTTTTGATGAATTTCTATGCCTGTCTATCTCTGCTGTCATCATATGCTCCTGAATATATTCTGCCCATAGCATAGTAGATCTGTGCTGTGTGCTTCCATCTCAGCAAATCTAGCCTTTTTGGTTTTTTCAACTATTGTAGTAACACAGATAAGTTAGAAGGAAATTGTAGACAAATTTGACCCAACATTACATGTTATTTGGGCTATATTTTTGACCATGAGCCAGCAGTGTGCCCTTGTTGCCAAGAAGGCCAGTGGGATCCTGGGATGCATCAAGAGGAGTGTGGCCATCAGGTCGAGGGAGGTTCTCCTCCCCCTCTACTCTGCCCTAGTGAGGCCCCATCTGGAGTCCTGTGTCTGGTTCTGGGCTCCCCAGTTCAAGAAAGATGAGGAGCTACTGGAAAGAGTCCAGCGCACAGCTACAAGGATGATGACAGGACTAGAGCATCTGTCCTGTGGGAAAGGCTGAGGGAGCTGGGCTTGTTCAGCCTGAAGAAGAGAAGGCTGCAGGGGGACCTAATAAATGCTTATAAATATCTGAAGGGTGGCTGTCAGGAGGATGGGGCCAGACTCTTTTCAGTAGTGCCCAG